GAAACTCGCCAATTTTACGTTTACAAATGCGTTTATAGGCTTATAATTTTAAAAGTGAGGTAAGTGATACTTTAATAAATTAATTACAAGCAATTCAAAAATGTTAATTGTTGTTTCGCCCTTTACCGCAACGCTCCCTTTGAAAAAAAGTATTATATAATTTGTTACGTGGACATATTAGTGCCCGGTCCTGACAGGGACTTGGGCCGCGGGAGAGGCGTCCGATGTTCAAGCGCCATTTGCTGGCATAAGCTACGTCGTATTCGGGTCGTGGGATCTTGGTAAGCCTCTCTCCTTTTCAACATAATGAGAATTAATATTTAAATTGCCTGTAAAATAATATTAGTCCATAAAGATCGTCAGTCGTCAGTCCACACTTCCCCACAAATCTAGCTGTCGCTTGATCGAAATACGGTCGGGCGGTGTTTTGGCCATATTCCCTCCCCTTCACACATTCGTGTGCCAATGGATCGTCGCGGGCCGCGCAATTCGATCCCCTATTGTCAAGGTTGTCCGTCGTTCTTGACCTACTCCACTTCTCGCGTCAGCACACCCCCTTTAATAAAGTTTTAGCACTTCATGGTTTTGATATCCTTTTACATTATACATTTATTGGGTAATGTATAATAATGTAGTTGAGGAAATTAATTAATTGAAAACTATTTTGTTAGCGATGAGTATCGAATTTATCACCTGTGAAGGTGCACACATCAGCAAAATGCCGACTTTTCACGATTACAAACATCGCTTAAAAGGCTCTTGCAATAGTTATTTAAATTATTATATTGGATAGTTATTTCTAAAAGATTAATTCTTCATCTTAACTAGGAAGATATTAACATTGCCCAAAAATACATTTTTATCTAAACGAGAGAGAGCAATGACCGGTGGAACGGTAGAGATGATAATTACCTTTTCGGTCTTGTTACAGTGTACCAGGGGTGAGAAATCTAGACGAAAGGTCTCAACATATAAGTTTTCTAATTCATCTCCAGTTATTGGTAGGGTTACTTTTGGAAACAAATATAGAATTCTTTCGTTAAACGTGGATCATTGCCTATCGTCTTTGCTAATGCGAGTGTAGTGATTGTGGTGCACGGATATATATACATATATATATATAAGTCGTTCCGACAAACTTACCCTCCCTTTAATCCTGGGCGATGAGATCTCGACGCTCCGGATCCTGTGCTTTGAAAGACGTTACAATTGGTTTATATAAGTATATACTTGCAATATTGGAAGGCGGTTCACAAAAACTTAACACAAAAATTACGTTTCACAAAATAAAATAACACTATTGCTGTATAGATAGATGTATGTATGTATGCATTGTATGGGAGTTCCACTGCGGCACACGTCAGTTCCAATGCTCAGGCTGGGGCTGGTCGGTGCAGCTCCAGTTTCTTGTTCAACGTATTTGTGGGTTCTCTACACTTGCATTCAGAAATGCATGCACTCGCAAATTGTTTGTAATTGTTTTGGCGATTCACTTTTTGTTTGCAATTTTAAATGCAATTAATTCGCCTTTTATTGGTTTTTTTTTCACTTTGCTGCAACTGCTTTGCTTATGCTCCGATGTGGGTCACTACTTTCTCCAGGGCGTGATGTTGGTCGTGGCGTCTCTGAACAGAGCGCTTGGAGATCTTAACGACTTGCAGAACCGGTAACAAGGATTTTCTTCCAGATAGGGTTGTCTTCCAGGGAAGGATGGAAACGTCTTTCGGGACACTTGTCTCTTTCCAGTCGTGATCCTCACTTCAGGGGAGTTGCACTTCTAAACCAGTGCCAGTGAGATCAGAAAAAATTCTGTCTATCTTCTCTATTTGGCTGGGGTCTTTTATACCGGACTAGAGCTTTCGCTAGCCCCCCATATTGGATGAACTAACTAGGTGTTCCCACCTATGGGTACTGTTTTTTTATTTCCCCTATCTTAGGAGTCAACGGCCGGCTGGTGCACTTTGCCACCTACTGGAGTACGGTTACGAGTAGGTCGATCGTGGTCGTTTTTCTGGCTACGCGACACCAGTGAGTTGTCGAATTGTATTGCTGGTTTGCCCTTATCAATCTGGGTGTGGTTAGTCATTAGCGGCCCCTACGCTCAACTTAGGACAGTTGTTTCGCTGGGGTTAATCTTTGTATGGGGAGGGAGTACGTAATGACTTCGCAAAAGAAAACTTCGTACGGCCACTCCTCTATTTTTTCTTCGTTTTTTGATATGGCTCATAATGATATATAATATGGCTTAAATGAAAATAATTTTAAAAAAATGCAGAAGTGTTTAAAAGCTAAAACTGTTTAGAACAAAATAAATGTTATAATATCGGATGGCATGGTTGTATAGGTTGTGGGACTGCGTCATGTCTGGTAACCGGTCGGTCCCTGGTCCCTGGCTTTTATAGCAGAATCGGGGTAGTTCTGGTTACTGTTCTACCCATCATGTGATCGGGAGCTTCTATCAATTCGTGCAATCTCGCAGTTCTGAGTTTGTCGCCTTGTGGAGTCATCGGATTACGTTCAGCGGTTCAGGCGACATACAGGTCCTTAGCATGGAATAACCCGACACTTTGCCCACTGCATTGCCCATCTCATATAGCGCTTTGCCCTTACGCTGGAGTACAACACAGCGAATTCGATTTGGACCAAGCTTGGCATTATATCAGTCAGCCTTGTTACTCTGCCTGCAGTTTTTCCTATAAACAACTTGTCCCACGGAAAATTCTACGAGCTTACTACGGGTGTTATATGCCTTTTCCGCGCGTTTACAGTTCGGTTTAACGCCTGGGTCACTTTCTGTCAGATGAGTTCCATCTTGTCTGGGAGACTTATCTGTGGATCTCCTGCCTGTATTCTCCCCAGCTTCCGTAGAATCGGATAGGCTGTTCCATGGGTAACAATCCGCGTTTCGAACATGACGTAATATGGTTTTATGCCTATCGACTCGTGCAGGCCATTCCTAAGGGCACACTCTATTCGACTTAATTGGGTACCCCAATTTCGCTGATCGGTGTTAATTGTGTAATTATTTATTTTAATTGAATGTACATATACTCGTATGCATAAAGGATTGCAACAATGGTTAAGTATCCTGATGAGTTAAGTCTGATTTCGAAGATCAAAAAAAAGTAATGGAGAATACAGAGTTTCGTTCCACTTACATTTTTTTTAGCATGACGTCAATCACTGTGGACGGCAGTACACGTAGTGGCGAAGCGCGCAAGAGAGCGTGCGAAGACAACTACTATATATAGCCGCAGAATTGAAAATCTGCAATTATGGTCCGATCGCAACGATCAAAAGGTATTGCAAAAACTAAGAAGATTGCATACCAAGACTTTCCAAATGTAGATTTGTTTGGGAGAAAAAGCGGTGAAAGTGTAAAAGTAAAAATTTAGAAAATTAGAGCTGCTGGATACGGTGGGGATAAAAGCCCCCGACAGTTAAGCTAGTTTTATTCTTACTGAGAATACGCGTCGAATGACACCTCATTTGTTGAAATCCGATGTTCCGTTCAAAAGTAATTCAAAAAACAAGATTTTCATCTTCTTCCCGAAATGAAAATGTTTGTCCCTTTGTTTGTGGGTTTGTATGCATCCCATCTTAGTTTTAGGGTTTTGGAAACCCTATGAGTGTATAAAGCAGCGTGAAATAGAAAACGTTTGTTCTACGACTTTTGGAAAATCGCGCTAGTTTAGCGGGAAATCAAAAAAAAGCCAGATATAAAATGCTTATAGTAGCTAAACAACTAGTGCTACAGAAACGTGCTATATATCTTTGAAAAAATAATTTAGTATGCTAAATACTCTTCATATAGTAAAATTGTCTGAATATAATAGATTTAGAGTTATGATTAAAAGTTTTTTTTTTAAAACCACTTTTTGACTATTTTCTCAAAATTGAGTCGAACGATTTCTTTTTAAATTTTATATCATGTAGCCCTTGAGATTCCTTAACTTTTGATATATAACACTTTTTACCCTAAATATTACCGTTTGGAAGATATTAAGCGATAAAAAGTGCAACTCGTTTCAGCTCCGTATACGTAATATTTCATACTTATTGGAATACACAAGAAAAAAACAAATTTGATGAAAAATATTCTTATTCGATTTTTTCAAACGGAAAATCTGTTATGGTTTTAGGTCCTTTACTTGCATGAAGCTAATCGCAATAGGAAACTTGATATATTTGTTCTACCACTTTGGAATAACCCGCTAGTTCGGCGGGAAATTATAAGAAACGACAGGTTTCTCTTGGAATCTGAAACTATACAACCCTTGAGATTCCAAACTTGTGCTATTAAAATAGGTAATTGAAGCGATAAAAATTGTTATTAAAAAGTTTAATATTCATATTATATGTTTCATTCTTATTAAAATGTGAATGTAAACAACCCATACCTTAGTAGAATAAAGTTAAGCCAAAGTGGAACATGAAAGTGTGTGTTTGGATTTTCAATAGCCAAGCCATATGGGGACGACTCCTAGTCATGGTATTGGGGTACTTAAACTCTTGTGCAAAAAAAAACTTCTGATATCAAACAAAAACACCTCTTAACGAGGTAAAAAGTAGTGGCGATTGGGGTACTTAAACTCTTGTGCAAAAAAAAACTTCTGATATCAAACAAAAACACCTCTTAACGAGGTAAAAAGTAGTGGCGAAAGCGCTCTTAACAAAAATTTCTGATATCAACAATTGTGACGAAAAATGATATTACATTCGATAAAATAAATAAGCTATATTAAATTTATGTATTCGGCACGCTACAGCAGAAAATTTACGTGTAGGTAAATAAATATTTACTGTTGCGGGCCGAATACATATATTTTATCGAATGTAATATCATTTTTCGTCACAATTGTTGATATCAGAAATTTTTGTTAAGAGCGCTTTCGCCACTACTTTTTACCTCGTTAAGAGGTGTTTTTGTTTGATATTTATATACTTGAAGAAATTATATTTGCTCTTTTGAGACTTATCTTTGTGATATTCGTTTTTCGGGTGGGAATTCTAGTTCTTGTATGTGCCCACATAGGCTCCACAGCTACTGCAGGTGTGTTTGGCCGACTGACAGGACTCGGTGCAGTAGGGAATGCAGCAGCAGCCAATGCCCCCCAGCATGCAGATAAGGAGGGCCAGCAAATGGGTTTTGGTACTTGGCTCGAACTCGACCTTCGTTTGCCTCCAGACTCCGCAGCTTGGACACGTGGCCATTGATGGTACACCACCCAACACATTGGGAGGTGCCTGCATTATCTGAGGTTGTTGCAAAATCGGCTGGGGCTGATTAAAATTAGGATAGACCTGGGTGTTGTCATAGCAGGGCGGTGCCTGGAGAGAATGAGTTTGCTGTCGGTCGTACGGGAAATTCTTCTCCATTACTCGCTTTATATATTTCCGACCGAAGTGCTAAGCGGTTGAATTCAGCCAGTGTTACACGCAAAATTTCGAGTACCGATCGGATTACCCTCGCAGCCGCGTTCGCCTGCGGGAAGTTAAGTCCAGTCTTTACTTTGAGACACAAATGGTTTACCGTTGTCCGAGTGTATGAACTCGGAGACCCCATATTGATGGACAATTTTGGTCTCAAGGAATTTGATGACCTCTGCAGCTACTACATGTCTCATAGGCTGCAGCCAGACTAATTTGGAGAAATGGTCTAGGCATACAAAAATCCCCGCTTCGGCCCCATGAACAACCTTTGGCCAGCCCGCTCCGTAACCCGCTGTTCTCCCATCGGTGGACGGTTATTTTTGTTGGCGGTCTTGGAGATCTTACAGACCTCGCACTCCTTCACTACTTTTTGGACATCTACACCATCCCTGGCCAAAAGTAAAACTGTCTTTACCTGGCTAGTGACTTGTGCAACCCCCATGCCCTGCGGTTATGGCATGATGTGCTCTCCAGACTAAATCGGGTCGCAGCTCGGGCTTTATCCACGGCGTCGTTTAGGCAGAATCTCATCCGTTTATAGACATAGCCTTCCGATGTTTGAAGGTATGGACTTTTACATAAATTTTGGTCCACCGCCTGCAATAGGTTGACATAATACGATGACTGGAACTCTGTCGAATCGAGATTGATGTGTATATTGTTGTTGAACGTTGATGCACTAAAAGCAGTACAAACAAGTGGCCCAAACGACACCAAGCACGTGCTTGTTACGCGCGGGCCCATTTTTCTTTCGAGCAAATACGGTTCGCGAGGAAGGTACATAGAACAAATAAAGACAGGACAAAACATAGATCAACAAGATTAAAGCAAATGAGCTAAGATTTTAGTTTTTAGTACAGGGATAGAAGTTGAGGAACAAATTAAATGATACAGGTTGTTATAATTATTAGAAAGAACGCGAAAGGGCTCATGCTGACTAAAATTAGATGAACATCGTGGCAAGTTAATAGGATGGTAGTTTCGCATTAGTCTAACAGGAACATTGAAACTTAGGCGGCTTACCAAATCTACAGAATCAATATCGCCTCTGATAAGATTATTCATAAAAATAGTACCAAGCATAATTCTACGGCTTACTAGAGTAGGCAAATTAATTAATAGCAATCTACTCGAGTAAGAAGGCAACCTGACGTTTTGATCCCAGTTCAAACCACGTAAGGCAAAAAGAAGAAATTGTTTCTGTACGGACTCTATACGGTCAATGTGCACTTGATACTGAGGACTCCAAACGGAAGAACAGTATTCTAAATTAGGTCGGACAAGTGAGGTAAATAATAATTTGGTAGTGTATGGATCATCAAATTCCTTAGACCAACGCTTTATAAACCCAAGAACACTCATAGCTTTATTTACAGTAGAGGTTATGTGGGAGTCAAATTTAAGTTTAGGATCTAGGAGAACACCTAAATCGTTTACTGAATATATTCGGTCCAAGGACATGTTCTGAAGAGAGTAACTCATGAACGTTGGCGTACCCCTATAAAAAGTCATAACGTTGCATTTAAGATAGTTTAAATTCAAAAGGTTGTACTGACACCATTCCTGGAATCTATTTATGTCTGACTGCAAGCAGAAACCAGATTCAATATTATTATATGAAAAACAAAGCTTAACATCATCAGCATACATTAGTACACGAGAGTGATTTACGATAGAAGGAAGATCATTTATAAACAGAGTAAACAGCAAAGGGCCTAAATGACTGCCCTGAGGCACTCCAGATGTCACGTTGATCATCTTGGAAACAGCGTTTTTGAATAAAACCGTCTGAGATCTACCATTCAAATAACTTGAAATCCAAGTTAACAGATTATTCGGAAACCCAAGCAGATCTAATTTGAATAAAAGAAGAGAGTGGTTAACAGAGTCAAAGGCTTTACTAAAATCTGTATATATAACGTCCGTCTGTAATTTTTTGTTAAATCCATCTAGTACAAAAGATGTCAATTCGAGCAGGTTAGTGGTGGTCGATCTACGCTTAACAAAACCATGTTGACACGGCGATATTAAAGAGGATCACAAATGTTGCAACTGAGAGGTAATAATGCGTTCAAATGTTTTAGGAATTGCAGACAATTTGGAGATTCCTCTATAGTTCTGAGCATTAACCTTCGCACCCTTTTTGTGGAGTGGAATAATAAAAGAATCTTTCCAGATAGTAGGAAAGACAGATGATGAGATAGACAAATTAAAAAGTTTAAGAATGGGCTTACAAATAGTTCGGGCACAAAACCTAAGAACACACCCAGGGAGTCCATCTGGCCCCGGAGAATAGGTTGGCGTTATAGTTTCTAAATCCATTAAGCGAGAACTCTCTGTGATTACAGGAGAAAAAATACAATTTGCCCTGTTTAAGTGATTAGGGTAGCTAGAATTAGACCATGAAACAGAACTATAAGTAGATTGGAAGAATTCAGCAAATAAATCTGCAATTCCGGGATCCGTAGATGCCTCAATAGAGTTTAATCGTACGGATGATGGCAATGCTGAAGACTTTCGCTTAGCATTGACAAAGTTATAAAATTGCCTCGGATCCTTCGAAAATTCAAATTTACATCGGTTCAAATACATGGAATAGCAATGACTGTTAAGTACATTAAAATTAGTACGAGCCACCACATATCTTGAAAAATCGGATGGCCTACCCGACTTTTTGTACTTTTTATAGAAGTTTGTTTTTAGGTTTCTAAGTCTTTGCAACTGATTGGTAAACCAAGGTGGCCTGTCTAACTTAGGAGGAAAACTGTCAGGAGCACATTCACTGAAAAAAGAGTTTAGGACACTATAAAATAGTTCCGTAGCACTTTCAATATCCAAGCAATTATATAAATTTGTCCAGTTATATTGTGAAATCAAGTTGTTGAGTTTACTAAAGTTACATTTACGAAAGCATCTACATTTATTTGGAGAAAGTGAAGGAGAGAGGGTATCAACGCTGGGAAGACAAATTGTAAGTTCTAATGTGGGATGATACTGGTCTTCAGGCACAACTAGTGGGTCAATTCTAGATACAGTGACTTCAGACGGATCTAAAACAAATACTAGATCTAATTGTCTGTTTAGTGAATTACGTATAAAGCTAACTTGCTGTAATGATAATTCTAACAGACCGTCAACGAAGTCATGGTCAGATAAAGGGGTAGAGACAAGTGAGTCAGTGGAAAGGGACCAAGAAATGTCAGGAAGATTGAAATCACCCAAAACAATTAAAAGATCCCTTTCGGAAAGATGAGATAAAACAGTTTTTATTGCAGACAAATGTTGCTCATAAATTGTTAAGTCGGATCCAGGTGGAATATAAGAACAAGTTACATAAATAGAAAAAGATTTCAAAGAAACTTTAACACCAACGAATTCTATGTCATTGGGATTAAGAAAGTATATTCTCTCCGATGATAAAGTAGAGGTAACGGCAACCAGCACCCCACCCCCCCTACGAGGAGAGCGATCAGTTCTATACGTATTAAAATTTTTAGACAGAACTTCGGAGTCTGATATCTCCGGTTTCAGCCAAGTCTCAGTAAAGGCCAGACTGTCTTCAGAAAAGGCAGAGGAGTCAGCATAAAGCTTAGGTAGTTTCATATTGAGTCCCCTAACATTTTGATAGGCCAAAAATAAGCTGCTCAGTTTTTTGGCGCAGGTACAGTCGTGGAAGGCCTATTATTAGTTCTCCGTCTGTTTGGAACAAATTCTTTAATGACCAATTCATCATTAAGCCAAAAACTTTTAGAATTTAGTACATTAAATACTTCCGGAGGAGCAGATATTTTAAATGAAGATATCATACGAACATATGGAAATTTAAACTCCTCCACTGTGATGTTTTGAGATGGGAATTCCTGTTGTATAAATTCCAAAACATCTGCAGATGTGGTTTCAGGTGTTAAACGAGACACAAATAATTGCTTCCTATATGGAACAACCGAGAGGCTCTTTCTTCCACCATTAGCAATCTGAACATCGTTCGTCTGATTATCAAGACTAGGGACTCCTATAGAGCTAACTTCACCAGTAGGCACAGAAAGCTGCATAGGGTTTGACCCCTTAGGCTGACTAGCAGAAACAGGGACTCCTCCAGAGCTTTTGGTACCTATGGGTACTGCTGTCAGAGAAACTTTAGGTCCCCCAGACCCAGTAGATGCCGACATAGCTGCCGTAACCGATCGGGTACAAATATTTGGAGCTAAGTTGGGATTTGGAACTGATACCTTTACGGGAGCAGATTTTGAAAGAGCGGTCTTTTTGCGTTTAGGTGACCCTACTGACATTTTTTTATTATCAAGGTCCGCCTTAAACTCTTTAAAATCAGCAACTACGCTTATAAGCTTATCAAAAAGTTTCATAAAACGATCATTGGTCAGCGCAACATAGCCATCCAAATCACGGTCTATTTCAACGCAAGAGGCACAAGTCCACGAAAAACCAACACGCAGATCAATAAAATCTTTTACTCTGCCAACAAGTCCAGTACATTTTGGATGAATGACTGTATTGCAGAGACGACAGTAAATAAAAACATCATTAGGTGACGATCCAAACTCACAATCTTTCTTGGAACAAAAAAGAGCCATTTTTACGTATTTAAATTTAAGAAAAAAAGTTGTTTATAAAACCAAAGAATCAAAAGAATCATAAATACCTCACTTAATTTGACACTGGGATCAAACAATAAAAATGTAGACACACAAAAACACAAAAGTATAAGAGCACACAGATATTAATGACAAATTGACAAAAATCACAGAGCACAAGATAAACGCAACCGGTCACAAGCGACGCTAAATCGATATTCGTCCAGTTCTTCTGCATCTGCCCTCTGTAGCTCGTCCATATGAACTCGGGAGAGAGCATCTGGGACTACATTTAGTGACCCTTTCCTGTGTTCTATGGTGAAGTCAAACGCTTGTAGCCTCAGACTCCATCGC